CTCAGGACTTACCACAGACCTGGTTGTCCATCCCTCAGCCCAGACTTTTCCCTTCATCCCCTAAGTAGAGCTTCTTGTGTAGAGGATTCAAGATTTTACTCCTACAATGATGAGAAAGCAAGCTTGGGATCCCAAAAGGACAAGCTACACCTTCAGGAAGGGTCCTCCCGCTTCACCTCTGTTTAAGCCTCCCTTATCCCTTCTCTTCTGCCAGGGGCTTCCTTCCCCTAGGGCATTCATCCCAACCATCATCCTGGGGGAAGAAATTGCATAGCAGATGTCTAGGGTGCCAAAATTCAGGCTTTCCAGACATAAATGCCTTAGCAATCACAAGGCTACAGCCACCTCAGAGCCACACACACTGAAGAGTACCACAATGACATCTACACCCACTGGCAAAAGTCAAGGGTTTAAAAAGTGAGCCATTTACAGCTCTTAGGAAACACATATCTCCCACCAACAGAATGACAGCAGTGGGCAGGCAACTCATCACAGCACCCCTGCAGGCATTGCAGCCACTGGGCACCTCACTCCCAAACAGACAAACAGAACTCCTACGTGTCTTCTCTGCAGCAACGTATCTGTGCAGCCCTAGAAAAGCCCCTTACTGTCAAGGGTAGGAATGTAAAGACATGACAAATAGTGATCTTTGATGAATTTAGGGGAAAAAAGTGAGGTGGCGTCCTGTTATCAACATGAGTCTGGCAGGGCCACCTCCTGCTGCCTGCTGGCACAGCTGCAGCCACAGCATCAGTGTGATCCCTCAGCTCTGAGGCTGGAATATCAAGCTCATGGATGAGCAGATGTCTCAGGACCTGAAAAAGCCCTGCTGAAAGTATAAACCAAAGAAAAACAACAGTTCCCTTTCCCTCACCTTGCCCCTCTAGGGCTTCTGGTGCATGCTGCTGTGATCCAGACATGGGCCCATGAGAAATCAGTGTCCCTCGTGACAGAGACAAATGTCTGTGTGGAGAAAGGACACAAGAGATTTTCTGCAGGACCATCATGTTACAGCAGACAGTTCTCTGGGTTCCAGAGGTTTGCTCGAGGAGGTGAAATGGGGTACGTAGCAAGTTTCTTTCCCTCACCTCATGTAGCTGTTCACACTTTATTATGGGGGAAAGACAACATGAATAAAAACAACATGAAAATTTGAAGTCACAGAAACAATTGAATTATGGCTCTGAACTGGTTATTGCACAGAAATTCAGAGTTCAGTTTGTTCCTGAAAGCTATGTGCAGTGGGTAGCTAATACAAACCCACTTATTCTGCAATGTGGGGTACAGGATGAAATATTGTCTGCACTGTACATCTCTCTGGATGTTTCATTTGGGGCTTTGAGGAGGCCACGTACATTACATTCCTTCAGAAAGTCAGGTTTGCTCACTGCAGTAGGAATCTGGCTGCAGCTCTCATCCTGGCCACCCCAACATCGTACACAGTGAGCAAGTTTTCCTCTAGGACAGGGGCAAAGCCCACACTCTTTGAAACTGCTGGATTAATTGTGTGCAATTACATGCTGTACACACAGATGCTTCATTGCAGGATGCTTTTCACCTGACATTTTGCCCGTGAAAAATGGTGTGGCTGAGATAGTTCTAGAAACAGCTCCAGAACATTGTTTGATCTAAGCACATTTCAGCACACTTCCAAAGAAGCTGCGTATCTGTTTCTTTACAGCAAATATTTGCTTTAAGGAATGCATACAGCTTAACTCAGGGAACAGCATGTTTGAGAGGTAAAAGACTTTTTGCCCCCAACTCTTTAAGGGTGAAAAGCGTGTGTGGGGGTGTTTTATGTCACTTCTCACTGTGGTCATGTTCAGTCATTTTTCTTCCTGTTTGATAGATACGGCAAAGCAAAATGGGGCAAAATGTCTCATTCAATAAATACATTGAAGCAAACAGAACTACTCCAAGGGAGAATTTAGGTTCATGTCCCTCCCATCAGGCTAACAGATACCAAGTAACATGTACTATAGAGCACACTATATTTGACAGGGGTATGCACAATGGAAAGCCATTGTCTTGGAAGGCAAAAGATCCTGGCTTGTCAAGATGCAGCAGGATGTCACTGGGTCACTTAGGAGGTTTGTTGGAGATAGCTGAGCACAAGCTGGTGGTGCAGAGGAGGCTCCAGTAAATGTGCCTTGTGCTCCGGCAGGCAAGACAGTACTGCTGGTTCAGCAGGACTGCAACTGAGTTTATTGAGCCTCGTGATTACAACAGGCTGTCATTAGGGCAGTAAAGTTTAGAGAGAGAGTGGGAGAGAGCAAAGAATAGCGAAGGGAACCACACCTATGTCAGGAAGCATTTAAAAAATGCATTTCTCACACTCATGTGTGCAGGTAAAACTTGCATGAGCAGTCCCTTATCTTCAGCACAGGAACACAGAAAACAAAAGAACCCCAGCTCAGTTTCAAACTCCTGCTTGTAGCTTTTGGGTTTGGTGGTTGTTTTCTTTCTTTCTTTCTTTCTTTCTTTCTTTCTTTCTTTCTTTCTTTCTTTCTTTTTTCTTTCTTTCTTTCTTTCTTTCTTTCTTTCTTTCTTTCTTTCTTTCTTTCTTT